GAACAAGTAACTACAGAACCCTTTGAAACTTGCCCATCACTGCAGCCTCATTTAAATACCTCTTTTTGGAGAGTCAGCCAGTCAGCAACAGCCTGTTAACCATGCTTAAGAAGATCAGCCAATCACTAAGCACTCTGGCTTCTGAAAGTCTACCAATCCCTGTCCTGCTTCTCAAAACCCTAAGAGCAGTTCTTGCTATGCGTACTGATCCTGTGCTTTGCCAGTAATAAATGCAGCTTTCTTGTTTGGATAATGTGAACAGTGGTCTTTTCTGTGGATAGCCCTGTTCTGTAGCCAGCTGAGGGAAAAGAAGAACCCCAAAGCCTAGAGAGGGTAGTGGAACATTAAGGAGAAGACCTTCTTTAGTGTGCAAGTCTGATCAAATGAGTGAAAAGCCTCTAATGAAAATTTTGGTTGAGCCTTGTAGCCAAAGGAGCCACCTGGGCTTGAAAGAGATCTTGTGCTCAGTTTTTAGAAAGGCGCCATAAGATTCTTGACAGCTCCTCTGTTAGATTGTAAAGTTTTAAAGTTTAGAACCCAGTTCAGTGCATTTTGTTCTTTAGAGATTTATTTTATTATCCTTTTTCTATCCCCAGTTTGATGATGCTGTTGTTCTTATTATAAGCTGTTGAGTCAGACCTGACTTATAGCCCCTCCTTGGTACTTCTGAGGTTATCACTACAGAAGTAGATTGCCCAACTTTCCTTCCGAGCAGTGGCTGGTGGGTTTGAACTGCCAGCCTTCTGGTTAGCAGTCAAGTGCCTTAGGCACCACGCTACCAGAGCTCCCTCAGCGGTACTAGTGATCCTTAAATCTCCCTTTCGTGAGCCCGACACAGACTTTTCATGCAGATAACCAAATGGCAACAACTTGTCTGGAAGGAAACTTACCCACTCCAAATGAGCTTCTCCAAAACTTTGTCTTTCATTATTATGGTTGTTGTTAGGTGCTGTGGAGTCGGCTCTGGCTCATAGCTACCCTGTGTACAACAGAACTAAGCACTTCCCGCCAGCAAATCCCTCCCTCGTACATGTCAGCCCTTTCTATTTGATTTCAATCTGTCATTTTGGTTTTATCTCTCTTTCCTTATCTGGGCAGCTGACCTTTTACAAACATTTAACAGAATTCCTTTTCTTCACCTCAGTCATTTAAAAAATTTTATTATGGTAAAGATACATAACGCAACATTTGCAAATTCAGCATTTTTGCATGTACAGTTAAGTGACATTAACATTTATCATGTTGTACAACCATCAGTAGTACCTGTTTCCAAATTATTTCAGCACTCTTAATAGGCACCTAGTTCCTTAAACGGTGACTCCTCCTTTCCCTCTCCCTCCCACTCCTGGGAACCACTGAAAACTTGGTCTTTATACATTTCCCTATTCATATCAACTTAATTTCTCTTTATGGCTGAGTGATACTCCGTTGGATGTATGTGCCACATTTTGTTTATCCGTTCATTGTTGATGGACACTTTGGTTGTTTACATCTTTTGGCTGTTGTGAATCCTACAGCAGTGAATACTTACCAGTGTGCACTACAGTCCAAGTCCCTGCTTTCAGCTCTCCTGGGTATATACCCAGGAGCAAAGTTACTGGGTCATGCGTAATTCTGTGTTTACAGAAGTTGGTAATTTTCATGAGGTCCAGTGTACCTGAGTTTTCTTTTGTCTCTTGTGCTTTTGTTTTTTATTTGAGACGACTGCCTCACCCAGGGTCATAAAGCTTTGCTCTTCTGTTTTCTTAGAAGAGTTTTGTACCTTCAGCTCTGAGCTGGAAGTGTGACCCCTGTAGAGGTAATGCTTGTGTGTGGTGGAAGGAAGGAGCCCAGCTTCATTCTTTTGCATGTAGATACCCAGTTACCCCAGCACCATTTGTTAAACATTATTCTCTATTTTTAGTGTTTTACCAACCCTGTTAATAATAAATATTTTGTATATATTTATTACAGCTTTTTTCTTCCCTTTTAAGGAAAATTTCAAAAATGTTTCAAATTCCTGTGGAAAATCTTGACAACATCAGGAAGGTGCGAAAAAAGGTAAAAGGCATTCTTTTGGATATCGGGCTTGACAGCTGCAAGGAGTTATTGAAGGTAAGAGGGCATGAGTAACAGATTAAGAGAAAATAATAGTAACTGGAGAGGCTAGGGTAGGCCTTGTGGAGATGAGATTTGAACTGGGAAAGTTTGAAGAAGGGGTGAGAGTCCTCAAGATAGAAATTGCTAATACTTCACAGGGTTGTGTGAAAGTACCATTTGTGCTCATTTATGTCTTTCTGGTATAAGGAGCTTTGGTAGCCCAGTGGATAAGGCATTTGGCTGCTAACCAGAGGGTCAGCGGTTCAAACACACCAGCTGCTCCGTGGAAGGAGGAAGGGGCAGTCTACTTCCGTAAAGGTTTACAGCCTCAGAAACCTAATGAGGGTCACTATGAGTCAGTTTTTTTTTTTTTTTTCCTGATGTAAAGTAAGCTATTTTAAGCTGTTCACGATTGTAATATTACTTTGGGGAGAGAATTTATGGTTATTTGTTAAAAATAAAAAATAGTTTTTGATGTTTGAGAGGACTGTGTAGAATTATTATTTTAGCAAAACAAGAGCCTAGTTTAATTTCCCAGCATTATTAGAGTAATCCACAAATGGGGACACATTATGTGCTATTACCCATTACCACAAACTCACTGCCCCATAAGTTTATGTAATATATTCAGTTGCTGTTGTCAGTTTGATCCTATATAGCTAGATTTTGAAAGAGCTCAGTGCTCAAGGCAGACATTAAGTTAAACTACTGTTCAGTTATGAGAAGGTTTCAGGGGACATTTTTGGTTTAAAGTTTATCCTAGGGCAATAGTTGTTAGGGGTTCTTCTACCCTCTATGGCTCTGGAAAGTTTAGAGTCAATTAGAATTTCAGATTCTGTTTTTGCATTTTCCCCCTTTTGATGAGGATTCTTGTACGGAATCTTTGGTCAAAATACTCAATAATGGTAGCCAGACACCATCCATTTCTTCGGGTCTTATGGTAACGGAGAAGGTAGTTGTTCATGGAGGCAGTTAGCCACACATTCTATACCCTCTTCCCATTCCTTACTCTCCTTTCTTTGTTGTTTAGGTGAATAGAGACTAGTTGTTAGGACTACGTTGGTTGCTTGTGAGGTTTTAAGATCCCAGGCTCTATGCAGTGAACTAGGAGGTATAA